GCAATGCAAATATCAATTATGGTAACATTTAAAAAATATGTATTAATCAACTGAATAATAATCCAATATAAATCTAACGACGTAAAACAAACAACTTAATTTCAGTTATTGCCAAACGTTTCGCGATAAAAATGAATCGTTAAAAAACTTATCCGATTGCGTATACAATATCACGGGTAATAAAATAATATTGACTCGACGCCGAATCGCATCGTCATATCGACCCAAGTGGAAAATGAGCAATTTTGTTTAAATCACAATCTAGCGATTCCTTGATACCCGTGAAATTGCCGTAACGAAATAAATGTTAAATAAAACGTAAAATAAAATTGTTGTGCTTCCTCCACAAACAAATAATTGGAACATACCCGACTCCGCGCCGGGCGCCCGTTGACGCTCATTTTATAGCTTATTTGGGGGAAAGCTTTATTGAACTTAGCCACGCTGGCATATCCCTGAACAAATGTAGACCTTAAATCTAACAAGATAGGATTCTTAGTTGCTTGTATCTTCCTCATTGCGTCACCACCGTGCGGCATAAAATGACTCTTTCGTTTGTATTCGCTCTTTATCCACTTAGAGTCATTTTTTTCCATTCGCTACAATTCACTTTCAGATTTCGCTAGTCGTGCTGAGTATCGTTATTATTTTATAGCATGAATAATACAATACTTTTTTAGTTTTAAGGGCCATTGTGGGAAAATACTGTTATGAATTGAATTTATTTGTTAACAAATTTCAAAATGAAATATGTACACTTAATTTTCTTAGTTTAGATTTTGTTGATTCATATCATTTTAAATAGTTACAGTTCTATAAACTCATCTGTCATTTAGTTTAAATATTAGAATAGTTGTACCAATAAAACATTAGGAATAACAATAACGTAATTGATTAATTATCATTAAACATTAATTATTATTAATCTAACCCACAGCTATCGAGTCTGCAAAAGTAATTTACTTATAAATTTTATATACACCTGCAATTGCGATACTGGTAACGTATTTGACACATTTAAATATTAAATAATCGATTGTTTTGTTTTCAGTTTTGTTTAATACATATATATATATACATTAAATAGAACTAACTCAAAAACATGGAGCTCCCATAATGATACCACAGCGCTCTATAATAGTCGACCAACATCAGCCAATTCGGGATTGGCGCATTCTACAAAGGCTTCATAAGCGCAGTTTATGAACCAGAAAATGGTATCACACAAAGCAAGTGAAATAGTGCCTTAACTGCACAGACCGTGATAGTCCTAGAATGAAGTAGACACCAATTTGGCAATCCCTCCGCCGCAATGGCGCCTCGCAGCCGCGGGTACGCACTTTATGAACCGACAAATAACTCATCAATTTAACGCAATCTTTTAAAAACTAATATAAACACCAAAATTATAATACTTTTTTGTTATTTATAGATCTTGTGACGCGTATGAATAACGTTAATAGTGGGGCACCGCCCTTACGCTACTGTTTATATTTATTTGGGGTTGTTTTAATGAGCCTATCTGACGCGCTGACTCGCGAACTCTGTGAAGAATTGATTAAAATGTTGTTAGATTCAGTCTCACGGAAGAGTGGGGTGCTGTGGGTCGAATAGATTTTTAAGGGTTAATAAATGAGGTTTATCGCCCAGTTAAATAGATATAACTTGTTTTTATAAGGCGTTGGTGTTTAGTACATCTTTAAATGCAAATAAACATGTTGTTTATAATCTTGAAAGCGTTCTGTTTTGCCATAATGTGCAGAGGTGTTACTTTAAAAGGTCCTTTTCAGAAATTTCAAGCCTGAAGTTTTGGAGCATAAGGAGACCATAGTTGTAAACAGTAACTACTTTACATTATAAATAGTATGTGTACTCATTTGTTATCTCCCTATTCTATGAACAATAACTTAAAAAAATATTTTTCACATATACAATATATTCTTCTCAAAGACAAATATTAGTATATATAGTGAAATTTTATAAATATCGTTAACCTCTTCGAATTCAATGACGATTGTGGTCATGTAAGCTAATGTATGTCCATCTGTCATAGTTAGAGCAACACTGAACTAAGTTTTTATCGCCCCACAAAGAGTTGGCACCGAATTTGTCACTGGGCTATGGGGGAAGTTATATAGATATTAATGATTTGCTTCAAAAACTGAGAGTTCTCATTATTCTTGATCATTGCTTTTATTATGCCTTTGTTTACGTTTATTTTGATTTTAAGAGGGGTAACCATAGGTAAGGTTTTCGTTAATTATAAGGCAATTAAATACAAAAAACTATATCATTTTATTCTAGATTAAATTCAGTTTAAATAATTGTATATTTATTTTGAATTTTAGTTGAGATTTTAGAACTTTAAGATTTTCTTATTTAGTAAGTTTCATAAAATTCAAATCTTATTCCGTGTATATCTTTTTGATACAGTAAGTAGTAGACTTTTTTAAACAAATTAAAAAATATTATTCATAATTATTACTCTGGAGAAATATTGTATTCATTTAAATTAATACACAAACTTTAGGTGTTTAAAATTTATGGAAATAGCAATTTTTCGTTTTATTTCTATTGAAATCGGTATTTTATTCAAAAATTTTTGATTGCCATTAATCGGTACTAAAAAATCACTCAAACATATAATACTTTTCATAAAGTTCGCTGTTATTTTAAGTTTTCTAGAACCCCTCGCTTTATAATTACCTCCATCCAAACATTTCCAACAACGTAGACATACATCTCAAAAGTTATTAATATGTCTCCGGTACACATTTCCGAGAGACAGAAAGATCGTACATATTTTTACTATAAAATAAAGGTATTTATAATAATAATTCATAAACTTATTTCCATTTAATATTTCTGTACACAGTTTCTTATCCACAATTACATGAAAAGCTTAATAATAGTCGGAATATCTTATTACAAGATATTATAGACGCTATTACAATTTTCTTACAAAAGTTGAATCTCAAAAATATATATAATTTAACATATTTTTATTATTTAAATGTTTTTTTTTATTGAATTATGATTCAGTATTTGTTTATTTAAATGTTTTTGTCTCTATTCATAGAAAGATGAAAAAACAGTTTATTCAATGATAGCAGTTAACAGAAATTACATCGTTTTCTGTTTCGAAATAACTTTGTTACCGTATTATTTACATTTTGATTTAATTTAGAATTCAGTTTAACATTGACGAATTAAAGTGAAATTTCCAAAAGACACTCGACATTCAACAAAAGTAATTTTATAAATAGTCACATAGAAGTTTCTTAATTGCGCTCATTTCGATAAACTATTAATGATTGAAAATTGCAAGTTCCGCTAATATTACCATTTCGTTAATGTCATTAATATATTTATGATTGATGTATTATTTGGAATAGAGTAATATATACTTTGATTGGACAAAGTCTCTTTAGTTGATTGATATTTGATAAATTGTATCGGAAGAGAATAGTTTTAATTTATACTTATTGATTGTCTAAACTATCTGTAACAATTTTAAAAAATATATTTTTTTAGTTTTTTGGACAAATTGATTGAGTCTAGCCAGTATAAAGGAAAAATATTTTTTTAACGATTTTATAACTTTTATGTAAAGATACATGAGACAATTTGATTACTCTATTATCTCAAGGGTTTTCTACAATCCCTTGTGTTCGAGACTTTTCTAAAGGGGAGCGGAAAATGAATGACGCGTTAAAAGCGTTTCTCTACATATTGGTGATTTATTTTTATTATTATTATTATGTCGCGTGATGCTGGACGTGTGTGAAATATTAATATCGTTTTTATTTTCTTATGTACAATTTTACAAAATATTTTTGTGCTGCTATATAATTGTATATATTATTAATAGTGAACATTATCCTGTACTTGCCAATAACTAGCGTACAACGACTGCCAACTAATTGGCAAATTTGTCGCAAATGCAAACAAGCCGATATATATACCTGTCTGATAATTAAGTTATTATCGGCTCGCCATGTTAATATCGAACGCGAGGTAGTTATTGAGATATTGCGAAATTTGAATTGACTCCAATTATCGAAGTAATGAATTACGGTCACATAATATTAATTGAAAATATTTCATACAATTTTTTAAATCTTAAATACGAGGCAGTGTCAAACGAGCGTAGAACGAAAATGGCTAACAATACATTCACTTTTCTTATAAACCCGAGGGGGACAAATAAGCTCAGCTATTCAGTTATCTCGCACCCAAACAGTGCTCCATATGTATCCTAATGCTTTTCATTTTATTAACAGAACTAAGCGAAGGGGCCAGAGTAGGGCCAGATGAAACAAGGGATCCTCAGTCCCTAAGCAAATCATTCGCACTTTTAATTTAGTTGCTCCTAATGTATGCGAATAACTTAAGGGTCCCTCACTGGCTTATAGTTAAACAGCTATCAAGGGTAGAACTTAATAGTGCTACCCTTCAGCCCATACATTATGCAAATACGTTAGTGATATGTCAAGCCATACACAAGGGACATTTATTGTTGTTCGTGCGTTTATTCCTCTATGAGTTAACTTTAATTAAATTCAAGCAGACTTATTTGCAGGGTGATTGACTAAAAGGTATTATGTGTTGAGATTTATCCACTCTTACAAGAGTTATCGGACTTGTATTTGGATGACAAACCGTTTGTTGTGTATGAATTAATCTTATATACTTGCAAATGAATAATCGACGATATCGCTGTTTAACATGTTATAATAATATAAGGTACTTTATTATTTATTAAACATACTTTTTTCCACCATATTTAAAGGGTCAAAACTAGTTTTTAACATTCCGTCTATAATAAATGAAGTTCATATATGTAATGTTATTAATTTACCAACACACTATTAAGCTTTAATAAAGTGCATTTAAAACACTAAAATGATATATATGTAAATCCAATAATCAATATTAATCCTTATTAATTAATGAAACCTTCAACTTAATAACTCTTATAATTCCATTTGGCTTTCCAGAGTAATCCCTACGCGTTGAAAGAGGGCGGTGGTGAAATGTCGGCTTGGACTTCGGCAGGTCTTCAGCCATCAGGCGGCTATTACCCATATGACCCCACGCTCGCTGCTTACGGGTAAGTCTCTAGGGCTTTTTAGGACTGCCAGCGCCAGTTTAGATAAAGCTCGCGTATTACCATAACACCCTTTCTTGGATCGCTATGCGAAAGGTTTGGCAATCGCGTTCGGTAATGAATTTTCGCACATGTACCCAATTGAGCCACTGTATACTAAATTGTTTTATATTGATAAATTTTTTCAGTCTCAGGTCTAGTTTAATACCATATTATGTATATACATATGACATAATATTGCTACGGGATTATACATAAATTTTTCGTATTGTCTTTATTTTAATAAAAGGAATTAATCGTTAATTCAAAAATAAAGTATTTGTAACTTTTTTATTACTCTGCCATTAAATCTATAGAGATATACTTTTTTTGTATTTTATGAAAAGCACTTCTTGATTTGGAGTCCGAAGTTGTCACTTGGTTCCCATGAAATGATGAAACCTTGTAAAATGGTAATTTGTTATCCTCCTCAAATTAACAGGTTGAAACGAGACTATAAACACACGCACACGCTCTATGTTTGGCAGTGCGTGTCTGCCGCGAGGAACAAATGACCGCGAAACCACTCCCGGTTTTTCTTCCTCTCCTTCTCATAGCCAAATACCAGCGAGAGCGACAGAGACAAATTACGACACATCCGTTCCCCGCTAGGGTCTGATTAATTCACTGTTTTTCTTCGAAAAGCAATCACTCGACGCGTTTCACTGACGTTTTCGGCAAACTTATCGACTCGCCAGACGCGACTCGAAAACATTAAATCTGACGACATAAATGAACTTCAGCTCTCACTGCGGAACTGTCATAAAAAGGTATTATGTGGGTGCATCAATTAAACGCATACGTTGCGCACTTGTAAATTTATCTAGCTATGAATCACACTAGCAGTGGTCGAAAATAAAAACAAGTCACGGTAGATCAAAGTGAAGTTATGCTGACAATTCGGCTCCATTTGACTTAATATATAGCAAGCGGCGCGTTATAATCTAAAAATAATTAGGATCGACATTAGTTTTTATGCGTAAAAAAGACGGAGTGATAGTTGTTTCGGGAGCGATACAAAAATAAATCGTGATATATAGCTTGAGTCGAACACAATTGTCACTATCCTCTTTGCTATAGGATGATCTCGATATAATAAACAGTTACTGAAGCAATCAGATTGTTAATTATTGCAGTTTCATAGTTAACTATATCAGATTTTACAAGTTATAATGTTGTTAGTAAATATCAAAGCAGGACATTATAAGAGTCTCATAAAATATTGAGAGGTTGAAATAATTTGGCCAGACCGAATAAATAGAGGCATAAAGAAACGACTACGATGAAAAGCGGACAAGAACAACAAAAGTTAGCGGCGACTGTAGGAGCGTTTCAGTTAAGTATCTTTCGCGTATTATTTGGAACAGCCTGTAATCTGCCACGCCCGCCGCGCGCCGAAATGAAAAATTACTCAGCTATTTTTAACACAATTCTCGAGCTCAGAAAACGTACAAAAATTAGAGAAAAGGGAGGGGGGAGCACTTGTACCGCACCATTGAGATCAAAATACGCAGGAAATTACATCGCTTGGGGCTTCGCGCTTAAGGAATTTGTGTGCCAACGATTTGGGTTGTTACGTTTTAAATAAACCAAACAAGTCACAGTCGTTAACGAGAAGCTCCTAAATGATGGGTTTTTAGAAACATTTTTCATTCATAAACATCGCCGCTTCGCTCAATTAGGAGGCGATAGTAGTTGTGACTGATGCATCATCATGCTGGTTTAATTATACCTATAAATCTATGTGATCGGTTCCACGGATGTAAAACGTTTACTGATGGCTAGATTTATTAATTGATATAGCCAGATAATGATATACGTTCCGGGCTGGTGAGTTTCGACGGCGTCACTTTAGTATCAGCGATGGGGACTAATTGTATTGTATGTTCGGTTACTATTCCTAATTCTAATTTCAGGGAGGGGTAGGGGGTGAATCACTTATGTATGTACATAGCTAAGTTGGCAGGGAGAGCACGTAGGCCACAATTCCCCTAAGCGGGCAGATCGTAAACCTCTGATACCGCGAATTGAATGCCTACCTCGAGCATAGTGAGACTGCGCCCAGCACCCACAACGGTTTTCCAATAACGATATATACTACTAATATGCGCGATGATTTTACTTTACAATATATACATATAAATGTTTTGATATGATCTAAGTACATATGTATTTTTTTACTTTTATGCCTACTGCTTCTACTGTCTATGATATTACAAGTCGGATATTATATCTAAATTTTTCATCATACATTTTATTTTACCTTAAAAAATAAACACAAATCACCCGAATCGTTTGACTTTAACGTTAGAAAAGTTGTAGTTGATTCTTAATTGTTTTTAACAAATTTGTTCATAACTGCAGTATTTAAGTCATTTTTTGAACATTATAAATATTCTTATAAAATATTATTAGTAACTGCTTACTAATATATTAAATAATCAAAAACTAAAGTTTAGACAATTCCCTAAAATTTACTTTTTCACTTTTCACGATGAAATATATTATTTAACAAAAAATCAAAAATTTCACAAAGTAATTACTGAATTTAAAATAACTGTTTAAAAAAGGAAGAAATAATTGAAATCAAATTTATTACATACAATCATAGTTTTCATGATAAGCAAAATGTATATACTGAATACAAACCTGTAACTGTTTTGTAAGAATATAATTATTAGGTACATACTTATAAACTATTATTTTATTTATCTTAAAAAAATCAACTGTTAGGAAATTTTCTATGTCGATTAAATTAAAGCTGCATAGATTCGATTTGACATAAATTAACGTTTAATTGGAATGCATACCTACTACTATTTTAAAGAAGTATTAAATTCATTTGTAACATAACACCAGATATAATTTTTATAAAATTAATAAGCGACTTAAATTTATTACGGTATAAATTTATTACACCGACTACAAAGTAAATTGATTTATTTAGAGCATTTATTTAAATAAAAATAATATGTTATTTCTATCTACATACTGAAAAGGCGGCCCACCGGGCTGACTGCCTAAATTAATTAGAAAGCTTACCCGTATCCTTTAAGCAGCTTAGACGCTGCTCAGCGACATCACAAAATGGAATGTTCGCTATTAAGCGCTGCATTTTACACTTAAACCGCTGTCTTCGCTCACCGCGTAGATTTCTGAAGAGCTTATTCGTGTAAAACTAATGCGGTTTGGTTTCGGAGACTTTGTGAACACCGCTTTCCGTCATATGCCGTTAGTGCGTTCGGTGGCCTTTTAATAAAGTAAATTTTGAAAATAAACACTTTTCTCTACAAATATTTTTTTTAATGAAAAGTTATAGCAGAACGCTTTCATTCTGTTCACCATCACTTTGTTTTAACGAACTAAATCTGGTATTAAGCGGCCGTGATTGGCCAGTCGAGTATCCATTTTTAATTACTTTTTTGAAATTCGATCGGCGTCGCGTCGTCCTTCTAACCGGTGTTGCGCAAGATGGCTTCTCGATCGATCGAGTACTTACGCCCACGTTGTACCCACGCCTGCGCTGCAACGCCCTGCAATGAGGTGCAAGCTCAGGTACCCGCCCTCGACTCACTGACTGACTTACAACCTGCAAACTAAGCATTCCCTTTGTTTTTCATTTTTAAATGTAGATTTCGTCTGAGTTGCAACGGATAAGATTTATAATATTGTAAATAAAATACCTAATAATAAATATATATAATACAGGCAAGGATTTGACGTATTAAAAGTGTCTTTAGTGTCAGATATACGACATAATATCTATTTTTATTACGATCGTGACACTAAATCAATGCGATACAACGTACCAACAAATGGTTTCTCAGTCACAAATCTCATTCGCATCACGTTTGGATAGCCTGGAGTCGTTTCACGATAGTAAACTCTGTAACCGCTACACAGAGTAACAATTTGCGAATGTATAGACCGACTGGGAACCATTTTTTAACTATTTTCACGCACGAAACCTATTTATTGGGCCCTTCAGACCGCGCCTTTGTCATGTTGCCGGGAAAATCGAAGTCAGGTACGAGTTCTGCCTAGGGGAATGGAACGTTTCGCCACAATTACGATTAGAATGCGGATGCAAATGGGACTTTAAAAACTGCTCTCGAAGCCACGTAGGCTTTATTTCTGCTGGCGTTTAAAGTTATCTATTGCCTTAAATAAAACGTTTTCCTTTTACAAAAATATATTTAAGTGTTCGCAAATATTCAACATTATGAACATTCATACGTATTTTTATATAATGTTTTTAAAGTACCTAAGGAAGTAATGTACCCGTTTTGACTGATTTTAGATTTTGATTCAAAAATAAATAATAGTAAAAGAAGATTTTAAATAGAGACATTTTCAGGAAAGCAATATGTACTTATTTTGTTATTTGCTTAAATATTCAATAAAAACAATAGCAATATAAAATCATTTAGAAAACGGTGGCCTTTTGGTTGTTGTTATAAGTTATTTTACTGTATATAGCGAATGTTTTAAAGGCCAGAGGCGTCTGTATGTAGGTATATGGATAAAATTGTGTTTGTTAACAGATATGGAGCTGGATACGATTTAGCTGCCAGGCGAAAAAACGCTACCAGAGAATCAACAGCCACGCTCAAAGCATGGCTGAACGAGCATAAGAAAAACCCTTACCCCACGAAGGGGGAAAAGATCATGCTCGCGATCATTACCAAGATGACGCTGACACAGGTCTCGACGTGGTTCGCGAACGCAAGACGGCGCCTGAAGAAAGAAAACAAGATGACTTGGGAGCCGAAGAATAAAACGGATGACGACGAAGACACGATGCTCTCCGACGAAGAAAGGGAACAGGACGATAAAATAAAAGCTAACAAAGGTTCGTTGAACTCAATCACTACAGCAACATCGGAACGTATTTATTTCAAATCGGATGTCATTAAAAAATATACCGATTTGGATTAATCTCGATGTTGTACTGTTGATTAAGTTTATAATCATCATCATCTCAATTGAATTCCATGCTGCTATGCGAATTGTTATGTTTAAATATTATCCCTTGTCATTACAATGTCCCTGCGAATGATAATCGTTTATGCTTGTGTATCGTAATTTAAGTGTGTGTGTTATTCTGTGTTCAAATCGAGACAGTGCTGAACGCTTAAATTGCTTTAATTTTGTCGGTGTATAAATCGTCGAGTGAATTGGCATAACCCGGTTGAGAGCCGGAGGGTGTACGGGCCACCGGGAGAAAGTCGGGGGGGAGGAAAGGGGAAGCGGGACGGAGGGGGGAAGGGCGTGTGACAGGAGCGGGGAAGTGGGGGAGGTGGTGGTCTCAAGCGTGTAACTGTGCGTAACCGCTCCTCGCTCCCGGATTTCCTATTTGTAGTAAAGTGGGCGGCGCCAAGGCTCAAATTTCATATAAAGTAAGAAACGTACAGACCGTCGGAGGTCATGTTAGCTTGTCTGACGATCTGCCCTATTTCATGTTCTTGCCAAAGGATTTGTCGAGTTCGTGGATCGTTTCTTTTATGAGCTCCGTTGTAAGTAAAGGTTCAGGGGATATTATCATCGACTATAGATTTGCTGTTGTCATTTGCGTGAAATTTTAAATGTGTGACACTAAAATGCAGATGCGGGGAGTCTAATGCATCTGAGTGGTTTTTAGTTACACTTGTCAACAACATAAATTATAAGTAGGCATTGTAGTAACAGAAATGATGGAAACGAGTGTTTTTATTTGAATCTTCATGGGGATAAATTACCGGGGGGGTGTCACGGTTAACGCTTGCCATACGTCGCCTAATGAAACCCACTTTTGTTCAAATAGAATAGAGTGAAAGTGCACTCGATGAGCGGCATTTTCACTTGGGGTCATAAAATAACAATCATAGCATAAATACGTTTATAGTGTATCTGAGAACCACCCATTTTGTGGGGTAAAAACGCACATATGTAGTTAACTTTCATACTTATAAACAGGCTCTAACACATGTTTTTACGCAATCAATCGATGGTTCTGTTAAAAACAATCCTTAACTTACTCTGCGGTGAATAAAGTAAAAATTACGTATTATATAGTATAAAAACGTAATATATTAACGTGATCCTTTTTAGCACTGATCAAATTGAAATTCCTTATTTTTTTATCCTTATCAATAATCATGACCATATTTGGGACAAACATACATTATGGTTCTTTATGTAACATAAGAAATAACTTACAACTTTAATTGTGTTTATATCATTTCAGGTAAATGTTAACTTATCATTAAAATCATACTTACTTATTTTACCATTACGTCTACCTGGTTTATGTCGAATTAATTCAATTATAAAACATACTAATAATCTTTGTAGTATATTGTGACTACTTATCATAGTATTATGGAGTTTCTAGTCTGTAAATAAATTCATAACAAGGCTTACTAATGTTACATAATGTAACCGGTGAGGTTGGCTATATTATAAAAAGTAACGAGTTCTCGCTGCATACACAGTAGTCTTATATTTATCTTACAGTATATTTTTACAGAACTGCATTTTTTTCTATTACTGTAAACTTATTCAAAAGTCGAAAACTTTTAAATATGAGTATTTAAAAAAAGTGTCTGTATAAAGGAGACTTACCTAAAATAAATTATGCCATTGGCGTTGACACTTTAAAAAAATGGCGAAAGCAAATGGATCACCGCCACGTGACCGGGAGATGTCAGAACACACGCGTCGGAATCATAATTAAGGTTTGTTTCTGTTAGTGCAGAATTGGCCTCTGGCAGAATCATTTTAGGGGAATGTGGTGATGATAATAATTAACGAATAGGGCTAAAATTAATATGATTCAGATATATAAAAGAAAAGGTTGGCAAAAAATTGATAAAGATTGTACCTATACTCAGTGGAGGTAGATTTTACGGTAATCCCTTTTACACCTTTTATATTTACGATGCAGTTGAGATTATTCCCAGTTTAAACATCACCGACAACGGGAATAGGTGACTCATTTTTAATAAATTTTAATTATTTTGAACAAATGCAAGAGAATACAAATATTATTTTAGACGAAACGGAAATATTAAACAAATTAAAATAAGCAAGAAATGTTTCTAACGCGACCAAAGTAAACATGGCAGAAATAATTCGGCTAATCTTAATCCTACAATATTATTGCGTTTCCCATCGCCTAACCAAACAAACCATAACAGCGTCCGACACGCATAACAATTCTTTTACCGAAATGTCAATGTTCACGACATGTAATGTATCATTTTAAGTCAGAACAAACAAAGCCAACATAAAGCTTTCACACGCGATCCATACAACGTCGTCGGCAAACAAACATCAAAACTATCCCGAGCTAAGCCACTCATGAATAATAGCATTCGGACCCCACCAATAAATGTTAATTTTTGTCGTAAGCACACGCATCGCAAACAAAATATTAATCCGGAGTGCGTTAATGGAAAACGAGTACAGGAGTGCAAACAAGTGTGTTTCTCTGCGGACGTCGCTCGAGGAGTAATAAATTGCAGTAAGTTCGCTTAAAATGCAGTGAAGTGCAGGGGGTTGGGAGGAGAAGGCTCAGTGGCGCCCCTCGTGGTTGAAAGGAGTTTTTATTATGTTTCACTTCACCCCAGTTTCCGTGACTAAAGGGAAAAACCACTTGGTATCAAGCGTTGCTAGCTATGATTTGAACGTTCACTTGTGGCTGTGAAATCTATTATTTTGCATAATTGGAAGATCTCTATAGTTAAGACTTTTGTGCTCCTACCATAAAGTATAAGGTAAGAGACAGCTGCCTCCTGAAATCGTTATGGTTTATCGGGTCCAATTTTTGGATCATAAATTTATTGATCTATTTTTAATTAACAGAATATTATTTAAACCTTTCATAAAATTTATTCTTAAAATATCATTAGTGGTGCTTTAAATCTCCCAAGTATATAAAGCTTCAGCCCATAATACTTTTAAGTGGCTATTTGATTAATGAAACGTAAAATTCAATAAACTACCCCAACAATTTGTTTAGAAATTACCTAAATGAACACATTTAACGTATTGCGCGAATACATTACGAAATCATCCAATTCTCGCTTATCTCTCGCCATTGTGGGCCTTTATTAGATTAATACAATGAAAATTAAAACAATTTGCCGGATAAATATCTTCGCGTGAAGTATCAGTGGCATCCCTATTTATCCCTAGTGAAGGGCAAGCCGGATAACCCCTCTTAAAAGCTAGGAGCAGTCAGCATTAAATGGAATAAAGAGAATGAAGTCGAGCGGTCGCGCCTCCCCGCGAACGAAACTCTAAATTTTATAAGGCACCCCAAACTCTCCGAACCCCCAAAAGCCACTTTACAACGGAAAATGGTATTATAATAATACTTAAGGTCTTATAAAAATTTACTGAATAAACATTTTTTGTATAATTGTGCAATAATACCATTTTTAAAAATCAAGAATAATGTTCGCTACATTCACTTTTATTTCATGACTGTTACAAGGCTTGCGGAAATTCTCGCAATTTTTCCCTTAACACAGAATGTGAAATGTATGTAATGTGTACTGGGAAAAATAGAATAAAATGGGAAGTGAGGTTGACCATTAATTGTGTGGGTCGAAGCACACATTCCGCGGAGACAAGTGTGGTGCCACGGGGCGAGTTGGGAGATGCGAAATAAATGCTCGGCTTAATACGAAAGGGATCGGGCGTCGCCCGCGGCAGGGGAGTCGCGCCCCAAAGTGGTATTTTCACTTCGCTAATCGGATAACCACTTAACGAATGGGTCACTGCACGCCAAACGTATTTTCACACGGCTTTCTTTAATGGCTGCTGAGGATACTAGTGTAACGGTCTCATAGGATACGATAAACATTATACTTATTTTCAAATTATATTAATTATTTATTATGACATTTTATTGTACCTAAGTAGGGTTTGAGCGACTGCGAGTATTTTTTCAGAATATTTTTCAATGTTTGAACGTAGATTATGATCTCTGAATTGATTATCTTTACAGATGACGAACGGAAGGGAGATGAACTACTGCAGGGCATGCATAATCAACTCCTCGGGTACGGAATAAAGGAAGAGTCAAAGCGTGGTACATCAGAATGTGGGGTGCCTATACCAGCATCAAAACCGAAAATTTGGTCCCTGGCAGACACAGCAGCCTGTAAGACTCCACCTCCAGTTGCTCAACCATGGCCTCAACACGGCTATGGACCAGGTCCAGAACGTCCTTCAGTAGCAGATGGAAGCTCTAATGGGTTCGTCCTTCCAGCCACTGCGGCAGCAAGCCCAGCTGGAGGCTCATATGGACGATACGGAGGTGGTTTTCCTGGAGCACAATATGGAGGTCAGCATCCTTGTGTTCATCCTGCTGCGTTTCCCGACGTACAAACCGATACACCGCCTCAGACACCGCCTAACATGAAAGTACCCAGTGTTGCCAATCCGCTTGGCAGTGGCGGCGGCTCCGGTTACTGTTTTCCGAGACACCAGCAATCGCCACAGCGCGATCCTTATCACAACCCTCATCACTCTAATAACCACCAACCTAACCACCACCACAACGAGGGATCGGCCGCCTTCAAACCTTTCTATAAAAGGTGAATATACATAAATAGAAAACATATAGTGCTTTACTAGATACAACTTAAAACTTTATATAAAGACCGTAGTTCAGCAGCCTAAATTAAAAAAAAAGAAAGCAAAATATCTTTCGCAATAACTTCGATAACTACAAAAGTCGTAATTAAGAAGAATTATAATTTTGTCCGCTATTAATGAGTCAAAGCAAATGAGGAAAAGCGTCAAAGGATAATCTTAGTAAAGATATCGATAGAACCATAAACAGGGATTCGGTTTAGAGGCTTGAGTTGGGTGTCATGTTGGTAATTGAAAACAATGGAGGCGCGTCAAGGCGGAAGGCAGACGAGGGCGGCGAGATTGCAATCTTGTGTCATTTGTCAGTGTCACGACGCGCCGTACACCTACGTGCACCGCTGACCTGCCTAAATTAGATATTTCCATGCGCGATCCCTTCCGTGGGTAGATCAATCACCAGTTCGTAAAAAACTTCACAAAATAAATGTTAATTTTAAAACACTTCCTCGTATGGTCACTACTTTGATTGGTATTATCGACGCAAATAAAATCATCGTCAGTTTTGTAAATTCATAAATTAGAATGATTTTGTTAATTTTCCATATTTGTTGTTCTCATTCAAACGGCGTGTAAAGCAATGCGAAGGCGAATCCTAAATGCTCCATTGGATCTTCTATTCACATTTTTCTAAGAGTCGTCAAACGATTTCTTAGAACTAGCCGCATCCAGTCTCATTACAATAAATCGCGTATTCGACTGCGCCGCACACGGTGGCTTCGCGAGGAATTCTGTTTTAACCGAACGCTCACAAATTCACATCTATAACCTTTTGTATTATTTTCGTTTTCACGCCTTTTTGGGCAACGAATTCCTTGACGCGAAAATAACTCCTTATCGCGGAATTCTTTTAAAGGAACCCCAAAAAGAATGATCCGAAATCGACATTTCTTGTCTTTGACTTAAATAACATACCTATATATCTTTTATACACATATACCAAAAGTATCATTAACTGAAAATATTTAATTCATTATTAAAAAACAGAAAAAAATTAAAATTAGATAGTTTGTAAAATGTAAAAAATATAAGTGTAATATAGATTAAATGAAAAAATTCAGTGAAGAACGTGAGTGGTAACTGGTTTACCGGGCTCATAACGAACCTACAAAGATCATATTAATATATACAAAGTAAAAGTCATTATATAAAAACTAAAAAGTAATAAATTGTTAAAACATGAATCCTGTTGTAATCTCCTAGGTTTAATTCCATTATATACAGCTCATTTGAATAATACAAACGGGAATTGTTCTAAGGACAAAAAACACCTTTAATTTATGAATGTACAATGAGTATTGTTGGCGTCGTGTCGGCGCGGAAGCACGGCAGTCGCTGCTCCTTAGTGAGATAACGTCCCGGTCGTGCGTGGGCGCAAGCTCAATGGGCCCTCTTCATTCACAACACTACCTCAACATTAAAGCCGCTTTATTTTTTTACCTTCACGCCCTAATCTTCCCTCTTATCTTTTGATCCTCGGGTCCTTCTCTGTTTCATTCAGTCGCGACTCCGGACAACCCGTTTGACTTCTTTTTTCGTTGAATGCGTACGAAGTTTAGATGACCACGGGCGAGGTCAAATTTTTATTTCTTTCACATTTTGGTTTTCCGGTTCGGGCGATTCGTTAATAAATTCTCAGATAATGAGACTGAACGTTTCGTCACCTCAGCTCGATTGGTTTTATATTATTTCTTTTTTCGGCCGTTATGTGTGAACGCAGCGGAGGGTTCGGACTGGCAACACTCTGATAGAATCGAAACAACTTTCGGTATGGACTTTGTTTTTTGGTAATTTAAATACCGCTATTCTTTTTAAGCGACCCTTTCCTGCTCGAATGTCGTTTCATTCAGAAGCGTGTTAAAGTTAATAACTAAGGAAAGATTTAAGATGATTTTATGTTTTGTTCCAGGTAAAGCAAGTGAAAGCTGGGTCGCTGCACTGCCCTACTAGGGACTCGGACGTTCACAGTGGCACAGTGTTTTCAGGGTTCGTCCAGCTTCATGAAGAGACGCAGCCCCTGTTCATAACTTATATAGAATATGTAAATTAATTTCATAATGTTTGGTTATCGTGTAGATTAAAGAAATTCCTAAATTTAAAGCACAGATTATTGTAATGTATAAAGTAATTTGTTAATTTGTACTTAAGACATTTAGTTTCAAGTGATTTAGATATGGGCGGTTGTCCTTAGTACTTAAAACATTATATGGAAAAGCGTTGCTCAGTATTTTTATAGATATAAGGATATAACGAAAACTGATTTTCCATACTATTTATGATAGATTCAAGAAGCGCAATTATTTATAATAATAATAATAATAATAAAATTGGTTATAGTCAAAATGTATAGAGCATTAATTAATTATTATTTCAACGAATATTTCTTTTAAGGATTATTCTTTTCAGTTCTTCCAAATAAAGTTTATGAAAATATTATGTCCATAAGATTTTTTAATTGGTGATAACTTTATATATATAAATCGAGCTCGGCTAGCTCACGGTACGTTTATTTGTTGAATCATCCTTATTTATGACGGTCAAGTTAGAGTCGTTATCAATGTAAATAAGTGATTGTAGATTTTCTATGTTTAGTTTCACATTTTGTGTACAAAGTATAATACTATTTCAACTTCGATGTTCATCGAAAATATAAATATTGTTTAAAAGTATTATTAGATTACCTGTAAATAAATTCATTTACGACTATAATTTTATATTACAACGCTATTCGGTTTTGGTATTTAAGGAGTTTATTAAATTTCAGCACTTTCTGTATTTGTTATCTTAAATATTTACACTATTTTACACCCCTTTTGTAAATTCATATTAGATAAGTGAAATAGTATTAGTCCAGGTAAAATATTTTGTTCCTGACCAGAAAGTGTCTTCTTTCAATATATTAAGTCACCTCGTGTTTGTTTATTATTATATGTATAACAACGACGGTACATACGAATTCACTAATATACAATGAAAACTGTCATAAATTCTGTCAGTCGCTGAGGCTTTTTGAGTCTAGATTTTTTAAAATGTGACCAAAATCGAATACATTTGCTTATTATTAAATGTTCTATATAGATATTTATAGAATATGTACCTATTAATTAATATAAGTAAAATTATGTAACGATTGTAATTAAACCATTATTTCAATGAGTTCTTTTTATTTTAGTTGCAAGGTTCATGAGGTCTCTTCTAACATCCCTCTAGACTTATATTAAAATGGTGTGCTGTTTACTCTTTATATATATAATTAACAGCATTCTGAGCTATGAAATAAAGCGCCTGATGCGTCACTAGCAAGGTCCGTTATAAGATCTTAAAAAAGCAAATTCGACAACTGCTATACTCGCGTTTATTACCTATAAAGATTAAAAAGCGAGATAACTCAAACATTTCAAGAGATCCAATGTTGAGTAATGTTGAAATGAAATGAGAAAAAAGTCGATAATGAGTCAGTAAACTCGAAAGAGGGTGTCTCCCCTCAAAACAATACTTAGGAGTTAATAAAAGAACCACTTTTTAAAGAGTGCCTCAAATAACCCTGGAGGTATAGTAATTTAGATTAATTAAAAGGAAGTTCAATTAATGGAATATCGGAGATTAAAGACCGTTTTAAGGATAAAGGAATAGTAATGGTTTCGTAAACTCTACGGGTTGGCTCTGGGGTTCCGCGGCTTATCTTATTAGGACTTTATAGTTTGTACGTTACTCGATTTATCACTTTAATAAATTGGTCTGCTCCTTGTTTACATAGATTTGCTTAATTCACAAAAATGAAAATTATAAATGATTGTTATTAAAATTAAAAATAAAAACACCTATTCAGAAATAATTCTAGCCTTATACTAGTTGTAATCAAGTTCTGATTAAATTAAATAATATTTAAAATGATGTTATTTATAAACATTTACAATAACAAATATACTTAGTCTGTTCCTTGATTTATAATTAAATATATCAGATATTCGATCTCGGTTCAGTTTATGACTTTGATCTCGTTTATTCCTTACTTTTATTATGTTTACCTAAGTAATTACATGTTCCCTTCCTCTTAAAGTAATTATGAAACCGAACCGCTGTGAAACTTATTTTAGGTTATATTTTATATACATTATAAAAATTTAATAAATAATAATTTAACCATAGATGCATACATGAATAGATATTAAATATATGTGAAAAAAGCTATTGATTTACTTAATGAAATCAGTAAATGTCAATCAAATAAATAATGCTAGAGTCATAAAACAGTCATAAACACTGACAACACAAATAAAGGCTAATAATATACGGAACCAATCAAACGTATTGACGGTTCTTATTTTATAGTTCACCTTTATGAACTGAATGATTGGTGTAATAAAATTGTTTGCTGGACTCAATGTTAATTAGTAGGAAAATAATATATCAAGTGACAGAAAAATAATCGCAGCGTGAAGGCATTATACACTAAGCATATTTAAACAATACTAACTAAAATTGCAGATTCCTTTTACATCGTTTCGGATTTTTGGATTTTATTGGTAAAACCTGTGAAATTATTTTAATATTTATATATTTCATTAAACTTAATTGTTTAAAATTATGAGAAATTGAATGCTTTTGATGACAGTAGTGATAATTTACCGTTTATTACAGTATTCGATGCGCTCCATCTAATTTAGTGCGAGTATAAGTTGCAATGAAGTTTATAGTGTCAAAAGTTTTAGTTGGTAGTCGCCAGGTGGCGTAACTGGTAGCAAGTTTTAAAGAGCGTAAATTATGTTTGTGGATACTTCATGCACCTACGAACTATCTATTTCAAAAAAATTATATTAGATTAGTATACATAAACAGATTTTTTTAATGTAACCCAGTTTAAATATTATAAATTAATCCATCACAAAGTACATTGTAAAACACACACCTATTCGTATAGAATTATCGAAACGCGATAACGCTAGAAA